ACACACCTTAAGAAAGCCCAGCGGAAAAATCACAAGATAGTCACTGCAGTGGAACCCACAAGGAGCACGAGGCAGGGATAGGCCACGGGAAACATGGAGGAGATGCGTGGAAAGGGACATGAGAGAAATGAAGCTCTATTGGAACGAGCTTGGAAGGATGGCTCAGGACAGAGATAAATGGAAGGAGCTTGTATGTGGCTTGTACCCTGCCAGGGGTGAAAGGCTTTGATTGATTGATTGCTTTTTATGAGTGCCTGTTTTTGTTTTGATTTGTGTTTACGTCTGTGTATGTGTGTAGGTTAACATACTTATGTTTGTTTATGCATCTACCCTGTATTAGTGCAATCTAAATCAGAGTGTGGATTGGTAAAATTAGCATATGTTGGGGCAGGTGGTCAGATCCATCTATAGGGCTGATGGTATAGAAGCATGACCATACTTTACTCTTTTTAGGAATGAATTTCAAATGCAGATTTCTGGATATTCATGTAGACAGATTTAAAAAATGGAACATAGAGAGACATCAAAAGCATTTTTATGAATTTCATTGATATTCAACAGACTGGGAAGACAAAATCTGGATCATCTTCAAGGAGCTCTGGGCTACCACATGGGAATGCAGCTCCAGCAAAGAAGGTGTGTTCAAAAAGATTTGCTTATGAGCGGAATCTAGTACTGTGCCGAGAAATTGTGTTCCTTCTCTTTCAAAGCCTGTAGCACTCCCCGCTCATTGTGGGATGCTGCAACTGATTTGGAATCAGAACTTTGTTCTTGAATGAGGAGGTTCTATTTAGTTGTTTTATTGGCTTAAATATAAACTTGGCCCGGATTCTTTCAAGTGTCTTTGAGCACTTGTCTTCTTCTTCTTTGTCTTCCCTGCTAGATCTCAGGTTAGTTGATGCTGGTTCTTCAATTTGCAGTGCAACTGACTTTTACTTATGTGACCGTTTTTCTTACTTCGTAAGGCCCCAGTTAGATAGCCACATTCTGATTTCAAAGGTACTCTATATGATTTTTATACTGACTAGAGCATTTTCAGTTTTGGTAGGAATTAATTAAAAATTTTGCCCCGGTGGCGACCAAAGCCAACTTTTATCGATTTTAGGACCACCAAGGGATCTTTAACATGCTCAAATTGCATATGGGACCTCCAAGATTTTTTGCCCTTATCAGAAAAGGCTAGGTGTTCAATGTTGCCTATCCTAAGATCAGGGCTGTGGCTGAAAGATGGCAGTAAGAAGGCACCAGGAGAACCAGTAGAAAGAATCAGGAGTAAAGGGGAGAGGAGCATGGAGGCCAGGATGAAAGGAGATGACAGAACATGTCAAAATAACATGAAAGGAAGTGAAAAGAGAAATTTTAGGGCTTTTGATATGTAGTTAACATTTTTGTAATCCACTGCTCCATACTACTCTGCAAAAATAATCAAATTATTTTTATTATATGTACGTATCCAGATTTCACTCTTTCTCAAGTTGATCCACATGGTCATGGTCTTTGGCAAAGGCATCTCCTCTTCTTTACTCCTGTCTAAAACCAGTGGAGTCAAGCCTTCTTTTATAATGGTGGGCAATTAAAAGGTGACAGAGTCCCATTCTGTTTAGTATGAAAATCCATTTTTCCAAATATTTCCTGTCGGTCTGCTGCTTGTATAGCTCTTATGACCATGAAATAATTTTTAAAAGTTCTGATTTCTGAATGCTTTTGACATCCTCTAGACTGGGGCAGCAAGACCTACTGGGGAGCGTTCCAGTAAAGCTCCAGTCCCCAAAGGACAGCAAGCATTGATGCAAAAGCTGCAAGATGCTCAGATGCCCATAAAGAAAGTAAATGGGATGTATGTCCCTGAAGGTAAGGGTGGGTTGGAAGAAAGCACTATAATGTTTGTTTTCATTGTGTAAGAATGATTTTGAAGCTTATGGTGGAAAGCAACAATATACATATTGTAACAGTTTAAAATACTCGGTAAGTCTGAATTAAATAAGTTTATATCACTTCGAGTCTGAGCTATTTTTCACCCAACAAACATTGCAGCCTGACAGTTTTGGGGTATACTGAATCGTTAACCGCACAAAGACCATGCAACAAAAAGAAAGAAAGGCTCTCAAAAAGAAAACTGCATCTGATTTGTCCTAATAGTTTTTATTTTATCAATGTTTAGAAATGGCGATGTCTTGGGGTTACCCAATTTTTTTAAATGCCCAATTTGTAATAAAAATAATCTATTATTATATTACAAAGCGGGGTGACTGACTTGTCTGTTACAGCTCTAAAAGTGTTGCACATAACTTCACCAAATTTTTAACGAAATGAAATAAATAGGTCAACTGTTGGCTTGCCGCTTCCCATAGCTTGTAATAAAAAAACACCAGAGATATGTCGATCGATAAAGTGCATCCCATATATACAAGAGATTTGGCCAACGGGCCAGCGAGGCGTCCCGTAAATACATGCGAATAGGCTCAAGCGTGTTAATTTTTGTCTGAAAAGATGGCTTGGAAACCGTCCTGCATTATGTCTTACCCCCCCCCCCCCCCCCCCAAAGTGTTACAAAAAGCCTGTGGTATCAGGGAAAATTATATGAGTCCACCATATTATGTATTTGAAAACAACTGTCAGCCTTTACATTGTTATGAAGTAGAGCTCGTTGGTTTAGGAGTTTGAATGTTTGGCAATGTAATAGTTCTGGATAAATAAGCTGAAATAGCAGTTCAAATTACGGCCAATTAATTAGGCTACAATATCACATAACAAAACTTACGGCTGATTTAATCAGTCGTCAACACTGAGGGTTCACATAATGCAAGTTAACAAAGCGAATACTGGGAAATATGATGTTGATTCAAAACATATATCCCGTATCTGTTTTCAAGTATGTTTAACTCTCACACACAACCCTTTTTTTCCTTGATATCTAAAATTTTGGATATACACAGATTCTGACTGTTGCCACTGATATATGATAGTGAAAACACCTGCTTTTCACACAGCCACCTGTCACAAGAGGACAATAAGCAAGAGTTCAATGCTTAATGTTTTGGTTTTAAATTGTTGTGATTATATTGGTATAGAATCCTGGTATACTGATTTAGAAAATCGTTAGTTTCAGTTTCTCTGGCTTGCTGTATTGATTGTATATTTGTCTTGTGTTCGTGTAGTGTAGACCATATTAAGTTTTGTTATTTACAGTTTTCTGTCTTAAGGACATTGGTAAAGATTTTTTGGTCCTGTAACTGCTTTTTTTAAATCCTCAGGCTACAGAATGAGAGAAATAAAACCAGCAAAAAACTATGACGTTGTGTCAATGGCTAAAGCTATGAATGATGATTTTGCTCCCAAACTTAAAGAACTGTTCGACACTGAGACTGCTGCTGCAATTGAAGCCCAAAAAACTGGTAGGCTATCAATTTACTGTAACAAACAGTATTACATAATTTTCTTATTTTCCTGTTAATGTCAACTTTGATACGCAGCTATGTGTTATATTATGACAGTACTCCATATTCTGAAAAATACAAAAGTTTTCATTAAAAAAAAAGAAGTGTTTTACGGTGTTTGCAACTGCATTAGGTCGTATGAGCACACAGGACACATTAAACGTTTTTCGTTGGTAGGAAATTTTGAAATTTGCCCGGATGGCAGCCAAAGCTTACTTTTATCGATTTTAGACCACCAAGGGATCTTTAACGTGCGCAATTTGCACATAGGACCTCCGAGATTTTACGCCCTTGTCCGAGAGGACTGTGTAGATCTTTCCTACCAGAAGATCAGGGGTGTGGCTGAAAGACAGCAGTAAGGAGGAGCCAAGGAGCAGCAGTGGAAAGGCTGCAGAGAGAGTAGGGAGCCCAGAGGAAGGAGCAAAGGAGGTGAGAGGGTGGGGGCAGAAAGTGGAGATGAAAGCAGACAACAGAACATTGCTAGAGAGCAGGAAAGGAGGTGAAAGGAGACAATTTTAGAGTAGAAAATTTTTCCGTCACTACCCGGATTCAAGCTCGGGACCTTTGAATGAAAGGCGAACTCTTTAACCTCTAGGCCACGAGAGCCCCCAAAGTTCTCAGCTGTTTCAGTTTAATGCTAGTAGTGAATTGTGAAAATTTGGTTTCCTCATCTCTTGATTTTGGGAAGAAGAAAAATGAGGAAGGGGTGTAGAAGGGTTGAGATGGAAGGAGAGGAGAAGTGGAGGAAGAGGTATACCTCTGTCATACTAGCATCCAATCTAGGTGGGGTTTTTTTAACATCTTTTTTTTCTCTTCTTGTTATGAACATTTTGATTTATTTTTACTCCTATTAACTTTAGTGTGGTAGACGTAAGGTATTAATGTTAGCTCCCTTTCTGACACTTCAAAATTATTTAAGAGGCAAGAATTCAGATTTTTTTTCCTCTCTGAAAAGACTGAGCCCAATGATTGGAGGGCTTTAGAAACGCAAACTATCCCATTAGGATTTTTAGCGAGGGTCATTTACTTTTCAGTTAAGCGTGGTACCCACTTTGCTGACTTATGTGACGGCTGCATATTATTGCCTCACATTATAAAAAGATTAAAACTGGTAAAGAAGACGAAACACAGCCTCTTTGCTGGCCTACTTGCCGGAAAACTGATTTATTGTTTTTCTTTTACAATGAGATCTCAGTTGTATTCAAAACGAGACAAAATGAGATGTGGCAAGGAGGGGAAATAATCGTGATATCAAAGAATCGTTATTGCAACATTCTCTACAAAGTTCATTCCCATTTTCACATTTCAACACAACAGACATTACTACATACTTACTATTTGCAATTATTTTGCCATAAATCGGGATTACCCGATACCTGAAGGTGTCATCTCTGGCTCAGAGATTGACTTGCAATGACCTGCCAATGCTTAAGGTCACTAGCTGCGATCATACACTCTGTCATACTCAGGCCAGTCTATGCCTTCATGATGTCATCGATCCACATTTTTGTGATTATTGCTATCATAACTAATAATTTATCATAGCAGTGTCAGGACAAAAAGGTTATTGTGCTACTTAGTATATTATTAAAGGAAACAAAACTTGGGAGCTCAGCAGGACTCAGGGGGCTCTCGTGGCCTAGAGATTAAGGTGTTGGCCTTTCATTCAAAGGTCCCGGGTTCAAATCCGGGTAGCGACCGAAAAATTTTTCTTCTCTAAAATTGTCTCCTTTCACCTCCTTTCCTGCTCTCTAGCAATGTTCTGTTGTCTGCTTTCATTTCCATTTTCTGCCCCCACCCCTTCACCTCCTTTGCCCCCTCCTCTGGGCTCCTGACTCTTTCTTCAGCCTTTCTACTGCTACTCCTTGGCTCATCCTTACTGCTGTCTTTCTGCCACACCCCTGATCTTCTGGTTGGAAAGATCTACACCTAGCCTTCTCGGACAAGGGCAAAAAATCTCGGAGGGCACGTGTGCAAGTTGCGCACGATAAAGATCCCTTGGTGGTTTAAAATTGATAAGAGTAGGCTTCGGCCGCCACCCGAGCAAAATTTAAAATTTCCTACAAACTGAAAATATTAGGTGTGTCCCGCGCGCTCATATGACCGTATGCAGTTGCGAGCGCCGTAAAACACTTTACAAAAACAAAGCAGGACATATGGCAAATGATAGTAGACATTAGACTTTATAGGTTTTTTTTCATTCTGTAATATTATATAAAATGTATTCATGCTGCCGTCTCAGGAATCTACATTGGTTGGCGATGCCCTGAGTTTCAACATGACTGCCAACGCGTTTTCCACACATCCAGATGTTTCTGTGACCATGCCCTCTCAGAACATGCACAGTACAATGGTAAGATACTTTCTTCTAACTGTTTTTGCTTTGATTTTAAAATAATGTTATTTTGGATGATGCAATCTCTCTTTGAGAGCAGTCATCAGTCACCTGCGAGTCGAGTGGCTTGAAGGAGGGTCAAGTTGTTGGCTTTGAGGACGAAAAGATATTATACTAGGAAAAGACAAACTGAATTTTTCTTAGTTTCAAAATCTTAAAGTCCAACTTATAGGGATTGAAAAGTTATTTTAAAAAAGCATTTTCATTTTTAAATGGACAGCATATGCTAGGGTAATTATGGTCATGATATATACACAGTGATTTATGTCTGTCTACAAGTCTCATGCACTTTGCGATCTTGACTGAAATTTAGATTCAAGATTTTATCAGAGAAGATTTTTTTTCTCCTCTGATCTTCAGCTCTGAGTGTCAAAGTGCCTTGTAGAATTCCTGGCTGCAACTGTAAAGCTTTTGAGTGGATTCCGAACCGACCAGAGGACATAGGAGAATTTTGGCTACCCAAACGTCCAGGCTTTGATGCTGCTGCATGGAGAGCCAAGTGCAAGTGTAAGCACACACACAACTTCCATGATGTTCAGAGGCCTCACAGATGCAAAAGCAAAGGTGTGTTTAGGATTTTGTCCTGTTTTCCTGTAATGTCATTGTAAATAGCATTGAAGTCCAACTTGATTGAAATTTTACTTCCACTGGTATAGTTTATAGGGTCATCTACTCACCCCCAAAATATGTGCTTGCTGTACACTCAAGCTGTTATTATGCATCCACTTATGTGTGCAAAAGTACCCAAAAACACACTCACAGGTTCTGCTGGGGGGTGATGGTGGCTTCAAACACATGGAAACACATGCTGGGACTTATATTTCAAGTCATTATCTGTGCGTGCTTGTAAAAATACTCCCATATCGTATCGGTCTACTCATGCAATGGATTTGTCCCGCAGGATGTGGTTGCAGCACTTTCTGGTCAGACTTTTTATGTGCAGCTTGTGACAGGCACTGGGAGGACCATCAGACGTTTTTCGACTCTGAGCAGTCGCGCAGAGAGCAAGGTCTACCTGTTGGTATGTTTTTTAAACTATTGTCCTCATTCAAAAAAAATATTCTCAGTTAAGTGATGCAATGTATTGCTAAAACAGTTTAGAATCCACCAATGTCTGTGGTGTAATTATAGCCCTACGAATGGTTTGTCTCTTCACTGTTTCTGAAGAATGTGTGGGTTTGATTCCCATTTGGGGAACTAATTCTATAAAGTGTCTCCATCTGTCTGCTGAGATGTTGTGTCTCTGTCAGCTTGGCTTGGCCCTGACAGGCATGGGTTTAAGTAGCCTGCTTCCTAAATGATCTAAGTTCTGTGTATGGAGGCATAATATACACATATTTATATAATCATTACAGTGCAAAGTGCGTCTAATTCTTTGGAGGAAAAAAACAACATTTCATTGACTGTGCTTGAACTGAAAAGATAGTCGCGAAATAATCTATATTTCTGAAACATCAAAAGAAACCATTCTAGTGTACTGGAAAAACGCTGCAAGTGAACCCTTTAACATGCTTTCAGTTATCTGTCTTAAATTGTATACTTTGTCATAGAAAAAAGAGCCCTGTACAGAAATTGATGTTTTTTTTTTTTGTGATAGTGCCTACCCTGTTCCTCTGGCATACTAAAGTCATAAGTTCATTTTTTAATATTGGGATCACATTTTTTTTTCCGAGCCAGGGATTGATTTTTTGTTGTTGGTAGTAGTAGGGCCTAATAGTTAGCCTGTTCCTCTCGCACACTTAAGTCATTAGTTCATTTTTTTTGCTTTGGGAGGCTATTTTTTTTTCCAGCCCAGGATAGCCCTGACAGGCAGATTGAGGCTGTTCGTGTCATAAGTGATTTAAATTATGTTGATTGGTTCATTACACCTTTCCTGTGGAAACAACTGCCTTATGCAGTGGCGTCTAAAAGAAACTTGAAAATGTAATTACCCAACCATCACGTTAAAGCCTTGCACTATCCATTCATTCAGCATACCAATTTAAAGCTAAATAAATTCTTCATCATCTGACCCATTAATAGTTCATTTATGTTAAAAGACCCCTGAGATATGGTCACTCAAAATTGACCTTAAAAAATCAGGCTTCGCAAAATAGTGTGAAATCAAAGAAAAGTAAAAATGTCTTTGTGCGTGTATTGAGGAGCATCAATATTGATAGAATGGACATACATTACATATCCAATGAATGGAGAATTTATTCCCTGCTATAAACAATATTTTATGACGATATTTTGTTGCGGTAGTTTCAAACAAAATAGAAAAGAGGGCAATCACAAATACCTCGCAAAATTTGGACTTAACATTAGATGTGCTCATTGTTGTTTTGCTTTGGAGCCATTGGTTTGTGTGTAAGTTTTGTATATCATTATCTATCATTTCATTCCAATGGTCACAGAGATGTTGCAAACAAAGGGTCTGAATTGGGAGCAAAGTTGCTTTTCTTCAGCTGCTGTTTCATGGGGCTTCACATACCGATAGGATTCATTTCGGGTCTATTTACTGGTGACCACTCCAACGTTAATTTTATTAGGTTTCCCAAGAATTATCTAGTGACCTGGGCCTTTTAGAAAATGCTTTGCTATGCATGGAGATGTCTACCTGAATGACTCCAGAACAAAAATAAGTGTAAGACTTGGCATTCCAGCACATGCACGATGTAGTCCACTAAATCAAGCCATCTGGTGAATCTCATGGGGGCGGTTTTGTTCATTCTACCCCAGACCACCCAAAACCATGCCAGTTTTGTGGCCTCTGTTCCTCACTGACTAATGATTATGTCCAAAATCAAACTAACACAGTCCATGTGCAAAAAAGGTTTAATGCTCGACACGAAACCAATGGCTCCTAAATAAAAACAAAATTATTCTAATAAGCGCATGTAATGTTAAGTCCAGGTCTTGCGAGGTTTTTGTTACTGCTCTGTTTTCCAATCTGTTTAAAAATATCATAAGAAGATGCTGTTCATTGCAGAGCCAATAATATGCTCTTTCCTTTTGATATTCAATACATGTCCATTCTACCAATGTTGATGCACCTCAATACCCGCACGAACACACTTTTAAGTTTCTTCGATTTAGCACAGTTTTGTCAAGCCTGATTTTTTAAGATCAATTTTGAGTCTCTGGCATTTCTTAACATAGATTAATGTGTCAGATGATATAGAATTTATTTAGCTTTAAATTATTTTGTATGCTGCATGAGTGGGTAGTGCAAAGCTTTAACATGATGACTGAGTGATTACATTTTCAAGTTTCTTTTGGAGGCCACTGTATAAATCTGTGTCTCTGTATTCTTGCAATAATGCGTACCTAGTTTAAAAAATATATATTAATCTAAGTTCCTGGCATATTTCAGTTAATGCCAGTGCTGGTTTCCGCTAAGGTTTTATTTCTCTTTAACATCAGGAACTGACTGGCTGCCTTTTGCTGAAATGCCGGATCTTAGAAACATAGCTCTCTCTGGAAATGAGGAAGATGACAGCAAATATCTTGCCCTCCGGGAGTATGATGCCATTCCTGCTAATGCTGTCACAGGGAACAATGAAGTTGTCAACTTTGGAGGTGGAAGGAACCCTGGAACTTCAAGAGATTTTGGTGGGAGAGGGGGACGGTTTGGAGGTGCTGCTGGGGGTGGTGGTGGTGGGAGGTCTGGCTTTCGCCCAGTTTATGATTAGCTTAATGATTGACAAAAGCTCAAGATGAGTTTACTGAGTGTAACAAATCAGAAAAATAAAATATTAATGTCGCAAGACTGGACCTTTGCTTTCCATTATTAAGTTCTGAAGACTTTTGTTGTTTGTGCATGAATACCAAGATTGGTGCTTTTGAACATATATATATAATGTGTTGCGTTGAGGTGAAATCAGGCACTCGTCAAAATAATGAAATCGAAGAAACAAACCTTTTTTAACTATTGGGAAATTTTCCTTAATTTTTTTGAGGGGCTCAACACTTTTTTTTGTCCTTTTAAAAACACATTTCTGTGTGTATTTTACTGAAAAATGTCGTTCAGATGCACAACAAAATGTACATATGCAGTTTCCAATGACTCTCAAGCTCTGGATGTTGCCAAACTTCGTTGGATATTTTCTCGCTAATTTCCTCCAGACATTAGGCGACCCCTACCTCATTCAATGGCAAATATCTCTACTTCTATTCAGGATAGATGGATCCTTTTTTCATCAAAAGCAAGACAAATGAACAAGCGTCAAGATAATATTAATAGCGCCACTTACTCAAAAACTGACAAGCTCCTGATTCCGCTGCGTCACAACAAGATATAAAAATTGTTGGACTTTAATAGACTGTGATATGATGGTGACTTTTAATTTGCTTTTTTTCCTATTTAACATACTTATTATGCTTTTATGGTTTTGTGAAACCTCTGTTGATGGCTAATCTGATGATAGATGAAGTACTTATTTTTATGCTGAAAATATTGCATGATATCATTTATAATACAATGGAACCTGCTCTAACAGCCGCCTGTTTAAGACAATCACCTGCACAAATAACCACTTCCCATTCCATTCTTGCCTGTTTTTTTGTGTTATGACCACTCTGTGTAAGACATCCACCTATCTAAGATAAGCAATTTTTTCCTCATCAAGTAGTGGCTATCTTAGACAATTTAAACTGTATTTTTTCTCATACTTGTTTCTCTGAAATATCAAAATTTTGGATCTGAGATCAAATAATAATCACTCGTAGAACACATTTATCCTATAGTGTTACAGTTAAATGAATCTGTTTTTGCATTTTACAAGGTAAAATAGAATGGAGGATACTCCATTTCAACAAACTGTCTCTTTTTATATTCTCTCCATTTTTGCACAACTAAAGATGTGCATAGATACATATGAAAATAATAATAAGAATTTTATTCTATCATGTTGAGACCACGGCTGTCTGGTTACAAATACATTTTTTAAAGCATTTTTCTTGAGAATTTGACTTCAGTTCTCTTCTATTTTTCTTTTTTGAGATTTGCATCCAGGAAAAAAGATAATTTCATAATGACTATAATAAGATAAAGAATTGCTTTACTATTTTCCTAATTCACAAAAGCCTTTCATGTCATATATGGCATTCAAAAGGTTTAAATAGTGAATATCTGAGGCGGGTTGTTGTTACGTGGTCTCTTTTTGTGAATTATTTGTTTGCTTTATCATCTCATAATTACTTTCTTTTACTATTGTTTCTCTGTCTGTTTGATAATTTTATCTTTTGTTATGCCCAGATTATGCAATGCTCTTGTTCTTCCCTAATACTCCGCTTTGAAATCATAATCAAGAATATTTTGCTTTTAAGATGACAAATTTTCTCAAATACAAAGTTCCCACTCATCCTAGGAAATGGGAAAAAGCAAGGAATTTCATTTTCAGATTTCTTGGTCTTGAAAAAATGGGTGTAAAAGAAAATATTGAGAGAAAATCGGGAGATCAGAGGGCGGCCCATCATTATGAGCTTGATGGAATTGTTATGATTTTTTATTCCAATTTTACAAAAATACAATCGTAACACCTCTGATTGCAATCTCAAACAAAATTATTTGTCTTTTGGCGACCCCAACTCAACCCCCCAACATGGCGTTTAAGGAAGAAAAACAGTCTGATCCCAAAAAGTCTACATCACTACTTAAAATGTTGCTTTCTAATTTTAACACTGTCTGTGCACAGAGCCCTTGCAGTTGCTCAGTGCCTCTTTACCCTCACAAGAACATTAGATACACCAAAACCAGGAGCAAGGCCAACATTAGTTTGACCATTGTGGGTCATGGTCTAGGCCAATGATAAAATTAAAAATAAAAAGAAACAGATCAAGTTAACATGAAACAATCAGCTGCAGTGTGTGGCATGGCATGTAGTGATGCACAATCAGGATCAAAGGCTTGTGATGCATCCTTTCAGCTTCTTTTGTTTTGTACAAGAATTGAGCTGACAGTCAATAACTACACCCCTTTCCCCCTTACACACACACACACATACATGCACGTACGAATGCATGCATGCACACACGCACACACACACACAAACACACATACATACACGCTCACACACTACGTCTTTTTTTCTTTAACTTGACTAAGATGAGCCTGCCGAAACCTCTGTCATGGCAACTTTGTTTTTGTTACATTTGTCTGACAACCCCTATACTTGACACCTCAAGGAAAGGGACTATCTATGGCCATAATACCATTTTTCTCTTGATATCCTCTTCATTGCTTTTTCCTCACTCTGATACCTTTTAGAAAAAAATCGCTCAAGAAATATATAATCCAGGAGAAATCCCAAAGTTAAAAATGAATTTTTTTCTCCTTGATGAGTGTGAAACCTGTTGTTATGAAAACCCCTCTCGACACTGTTTGAATATTTAACCGTTTTGTCTCGTCCCCTTTTCTCAAACCATGACAGAGCCCATATGCACAAGCCACAAATGTTAAAATTCATCAATGGCCTTTATTTTTTTAAAGAGATGGTTTATCCCTTCTTTTCACTGATAAAAGTTTGACTTTTTTTTTTGTCTGTCTTTTTGTCTAGACTCAAATGAATACATTCATACTACTTTTATGTTGAAGGTAAATAAAGAGGGCGATGGAGAGGGATAGTCATTTCACCTTTTTTTCTCTGTAAAGTTAACTTTCTCATGAAGGAGTTACCATACACATTTTTGTGTGTCTTCGATATTGTTACATTTAAATCTGTGTTTATGGTGTTAGGCTAGCTTTGCATTTACAAACACCTAGTAGAGTGTTAGAAGTATGCTGTCTGTTTAGTGCCACAAAGTCTCGTGTAAGTTTTTAGAAAGTGGCTTTTGTCCATGCTGTACACTCTATGTCAAACTAGTGCCACGGCAGGGAAAATGTACTATAGCAGGCATGATAACTCCCTGGGGAAAAAATCTTGTCTGTTTTTAATAGAGATCGCAACCAACATGGTTCTTTTATCGATTACCTTATATTGAAAAGTTTTCATTTGAAAAGTTGAGGGAATGGTTATGTGAAAAGTTCACATTTTTAAGAGAAAATTGTCACTCAAGAAAATAAAACTACAAAATGTAGTGGCTCGATTCATGTACTATATTCTCTTGCCTATGTTACTTTTCAAATTTTGAAACAATATGATGGTGATGATCTCTACATGTTGATACATTTTGCATCTTTCTTTTTAACTTGAAAATATGTTTATCACATTCTTTACAGAATTATGTAATGTATACCTGACAACTTTATTTTTATATACCTTAATTTTCTGTGTACTGCTGAATTTACCTGTGTGAATCTGTACTTGTTTTTACAAATGTAGTGCGTTACAGTATTACATGGATAGGTTGAACACAGAAGACTCCAAATCACACATCCATCGAAGTGCGCCTGTGGTCCTGTTTTTTTTTTCTCTTTATCTTTGTAAGATATCCCTCGAACTACCGAGGCCGGTCCCGATGAGTTCGAGCTATCCGTGTTATACTATATATAACTTTCTCATCATTGTCTTATTACATGTATATTTTTTTTACCAGTACCCAGTATTTGCCATGGCAAAAATATTATGAGCACTGTATTTTATTTAACTACCTTGGTTTCATGAATTTTATTTGGTGCTATCCTGTGATTATTTACTTGACTTTTTATATTTAACTGCATTCTCTATTGGTGTTGTATTATTTATGCTTAGATTATCTAAAAAACAAGAAGAATAGATTATTTTCATACGACCTTGCCTTTGCCTTGATTATATACAACATTTTTAAAGTTTATGTTTTATCAATATGATAATAGATGGAACCTTTTGCATTATTTGCATTGAGATAAATATTAAACGTTGAGGTTTAGATACAAAGCAAACCAGGTTCCTAGATACATGTATGTAACTGGCTGAATTCAGCTTTTCTCTGGTGAGAGAAAGGTCATAATCTAAAAAGACAATCTTTCTAGGAGAATAAACTAATATCCTGAGATGGTTTAGCATCCATGGCATCATTTTATTTTGAGATTTGTTTTGCATTGTCATCATCTTTTGATGCATTGTTCTTGCGGTGAATAGCACCCTCATTAATCTGAGGAGTAGTGAAGTAAAATCAAATGTTTGGGACAAAAATGCAAAAGCTGTTGAGTTATTGAGTTAAACTTTTATTTTTTGCTTAAATTAATAGGAACATTTGAACATAATCTTCATTTTTCAAGCACCAGATGTGACATACCTGCCTACAATTTAACCTGGGCCGTGTATGGTGTGTCTGGTTTGGTTAGCCAACCACCATCTCTCTTGGTTCCCATGACTTTTATCTCAAGTGCATAAGCATCACCTGCAAAACTCCTCCTTTGATTATATCAAAATCTACATACATCTTATAAATGTGTTAAATAATATATGAAAATACAAAACTTTGGTGAAAAAATGCAAATGGATAAAAACTTGCTAATAATATGTATAATATTATTATAATATAAATGCGTCAACAAGATTTCTACTGTAGGTCAACTCAATTCGGATCTAATCTATTGTGCAAAGTTATGGAGGTCAGAATATACTCTCTGGCATACTGTGGAGACCCGATGAAATTTTTCTGTACATCTTTGGTTTTAGTTTGAAATTTCCATATTTTTCCTTAAAGGGAAATTGAAAAATACCCAAGTTTTCTTATAGTCTTGCCTAGAGAAATATGCCAAAAAGAAGAAGAATATAATACTGTAATGTGTGTATTGTAAATTAGGACAACAATAATTTTTATCGTTTAGTCCGCATTTGTAAGTATATTACAGAGACCAATTTCCCTTTCTTTAGTGCAGTACTTCCTATAATATTATGATTAATGCTCATTTTTAAAAGGGACAAAAGAAAAAAAGAAATAATATACATTTTGGGCTGTAATTTGTTCTACGTCACTTAATAATAATAATAATAATAATAAATTGTATTTTTGTAGCGCATTTCCACAAAGAGTGCTTAATGTGCTGTACAATAATACAAAGAATATATGCAGCGCGCAGCTCCTATAATAATCCTCTTTCTCTCTCTCACTCTCTCTCTCTCTCTCTCTCTCTCTCTTTCTCTCTCTCTCTCTCTCTCTCTCTCTCTCTCTCTCTCTCCAGTACATCCTTGAGTTAATGACTAGAAACTTAAGAAACTTTGAATGTCTCTTTTCTCTGAGGGAAGCAAAATGTTAGAAGTAACTAGCTCTTATAAAAATGATTCTTTCTTTTCTTACTTTCTTTCTTTCTTTCTCTTTCTTTCTTTCTTTCTTTCTCATTTTTTCCCTTTTTTCCTTTTGTATTTCTTTCTTTCTTTTTCTTTCTTTCTTTCTCATTTGGTTTCCCTCTCTCAACATTTTTTTCTGGTGTTTGTTTTCTCACTTTCCGCTCTTCAGCCTATGAGTTCCTTTTCCCCATTTATACTTGGTTCAGTTGGCGTTATTTCTATTTCCATGTCACGGGCTAAAGGTTTTTGGGTCTTCTGTTCACCCTTCCCGCTGTTCCATCTCTTCAACTCATGGATTGTAGCGGGCAGCGACCTTCCTTTTGTCTCCGGGAGGTTGATGAAGAGCAGTCCTGATAGAAAACACATACCACTGAAGATAGCTCCTGGGCCCCACAGAACTACATCGGCCTAGAGATAATGAAGAAAAAAAGATTGTATGATACCAATTTGGTTAGAGAAACATACGAGAAAGCAATAGATTGTATATTATTAAGTACAGTCTAGCATGCACACGAGGAAACCGGCAGGGCGCGGAAATATTTTCATTGTGTAGGAATTTTGCTATGTGCATGTTTTAAATACAAAGAATATCCATGTTTAAGAAAAAAGTCAGGATCTGAAAATCTGTTCACTATGTGTATGTTTCTCTCTCTCTCTCTCTCTCTCTCTCTCTCTCTCTCTCTCTCTCTCTCTCTGTGTGTGTGTGTGTGTGTGTGTGTGTGTGTGTGTGTGTGTGTGTGTGTTCGTTATACGTGCGTGTTAGACTGTATAAATATGCATAAGGAGAAACCTGTTTAATTTTGTCACTTTGTCTGGATTGCTGAGTATATGATAATAACTATTATTTACTCACGATGTGAGATTATTACAGAGATTAAATTATGTCTTCAATGCTTTACAGCACTTTCATGAAAAAAGGGAGAACTGTGAAATGAATCACTTTTCTAATAGAATGAGCTAGAGATAGATAGGCATAGATAACTCCCCATGCTGGGTACATCTTTGACTTGGAGACAAAACTTTTATTTCATTAGACTAGATGTCACATTGCGTGCACCGCCACCAAGCGTCTCAACCTGATGCGATACCAGTCGTTTAGAAGCTGAGCTTGGATTTCATCGTACGATTTCTCGTAAGGAGCGTCCTTGAGGCTTACTTGTGTAAAAGTAGATGTACTAGATTGTATGGCTAAATACATGGCTGTATTCCTTCGCAGAATATGCTGTCCTCATTCATACAAAATGGGATAGATTAAATAAAAATAATAAAAAATATATCGGAGATACATTTTTTACCACATCGAAATTTATGAACCTTTGGAGGAAAGCAATTTAAAAAAAGGGAAAGAACTCATTAAGCTTAACCATTTTTATTGACTGCTACCCTTCCATTAGACATGTCACTCTCTTGTCCTCGAGAAAAAAGGAAAAGCTTATTAGATGTAATCTGATTTAGAACGATGTAAAAGTACGTGGCAAGCGAGCTTACATCTTTTTCATTTTACACACTCGTCCTTTTAGTATTTCTCCCAGGATCTGCACTTTATCTTTTTTATGTTTTTATTTTTTCGCCTCTCTTCATCTACAATCGCACCATATTCACCCGACATCAGAAGAATACTGGTCCAATGTACAATATTTTCAAAGATTTTAAGAGGAAAATTCCTAATAAATTCTGCAGAATCCATTGAGTAATTTCTATCTTCTAAAGGTACAAACTGCAAGATTATCTTCGTAATAATCACTTTACTATATTGTTATGCTTCCCCTTTAATAGTCTGCAAAACACACTTTCGTTTAAAAAACAATTAAATTACCATATTCAATTTTTTTTAATTTTGGAAAGTGGAAAAGGGGGGGGGGGGGGGGGGGGGTACGTGGCAAGCGAGCTTACATCTTTTTCATTTTACACTCACGTCCCTTAAGTATTTCTCCTAGGATCTGCACTTTGTGTTTGTTTTGTTTTTATTTTTTCGCCTCTCTTCATCTACCATCGCAACTTCGTTGTGCGAACAGCGCTGTCCCAGTGCAGTCTTGAGTCCACACTATGTTAGCCTCATAGACAATTTGCAGCTATATTACAAATGCTTCGGACAAACGGAGTTAATTTCCGGAGTGAAATCAAATCTGAATACTAAAATCTTGCTCACTTGGATACGCAATGTAACTCAGGTATACTATTATTATTATTATTATTATTATTATTATTATAATTATTATTATTATTATTATCATTATTATTATAGCCAATTTTGTCTATTACATTGCACGGCGGGGTGCCTCTTGCACGTTCTTGTTCACGGAAGCAAGCTTTAATAGAAACTTCGTTGTGAGGTAATGAAGATGACTGTTACTTGCTAGGATGACGTACATATATGGTTGATTTAATTTTGGTTGGATTTAGTGAACAATTTTATGAAGTACATACGAATTTTAAAGAAGGAAATTAGGCTTACCAATACTCTCGAATAGGGAGCCATCATGCCCCCAAATCTGGATACACTTGAACACATGCCTAACCCCGCTGACCTGAAAGAAAAACAACAAAAACAAAACAAACAGCTAATTGTCTAATCGTGGAATGTAATAATACTATCCTATTATTTTATTCATGATGTAGTTTAGAAGGAAGAAACCGAGACAACACACCACCGTTCTCTTGGCACACTCCGCACGTGCGCACACGCGACTATCCACCCAACCATGAGGGCTCTCGTGGTCAAGTACGATGTTCGCTTCTCATTCAATAGGTGCCAGATTCGAAACCTGACAGCGACGGGAAATTTTCTTCTCTAAAATTTTATCCTTTCACTTCTTTTCCTGCTCTCTAACTATGTTCTGTCGTCTGCTTTCCCCTCCTCTTTCTGCCCACCCCCTTCCCATTTAGCCCCTATGACTCTTTGTGCAGCCTTTCCTCTGCGATTCCTTAGCTCTTACTTTCTTACTCGCTGCTGCCTTTCAGCCACACCCCTGATTTTTTAGGTTAGGTAAGATCTAACACGTAATCTTCTTGGATATGGGCGAAAAAATCTTGGAGGTACCTTGTGCAATTTGCAGTCTCTAGAGATCCCTTGTTGGTCCTAAAATCGATAAGAGTAGGCTTCGGCCGCTATCTGGGCTGACTTCACAATTGATTCCCACCAAAAGGGAAATAATGCTTAATATGGGTCACACACGCTTATATGACCCTATGCAGTCGACAGCGCCGTAAACCTTACATTAAAAAAATATCACCCAACCTTACTCGATCTCTCTCTCTCTCTCTC